AGTCTCTTTTGTTGATCGTGTACACTTAATTACTTCTCTGTGAAGCGTAAATATTAGGCGTACTTGCTGCTAAAACTCTCAGTAGTACTGATAGTAACCACACTTTTCTATGCTCGTAATCGGTAACTTGAATTTTGTGGTTCAGTTATTGAAATATTCGAATCTCCATCAGTAGTTCGGATCGCGTTCTATTTCATAGGTTGACCGTTTAATTAGTTTTATCGGTCATCTCCACATAGACGTCAGTCGAATTCGTTTAGTTGAACTACATGTTCATTTTCACTTGCGACTACTTCGACGTCACCGAAATAATGTTTTTCCTTTATTTACACTTTTAATGCTTAGATTACGGTGCGTATCGTTTTTTTGTTTGTGTATTTTATTCTTACTTTCAGCTGGAAACCCTATCTAATTGTGATAAAAGTGAAGAACAACTATCCGGTTGTAGTGAATCCTCTTTGTCATCCACTTCTACATCATTGTCTTCATCGTCAACATCATCATCAGAAGATAGTATTTCATCTTTGTCCTCGTCGTCATCCTCGACTCTTCAGTCTAGGTTAAAGCAAAAAAAGAAGACAAAACTCACTTGATGCTTTCCTTGTTTTTTTCATATGGAACATTAAAATAAACACAATTTGAAATTCCAAATGTCTGAACACTTAACGTAACATTCTAGGGTTGTTTTATTACTGTTGTTCTTTGCCCACTAATCCTCTTTATTTCAATTTTCCTTGTTTGATGCTTGTTTCTGTTCATTACTATTCTCTAACGAATTGTATTTTTACACAGAGAAAAGTTTAACAAACGCACTTTACACTCAAAAACATTCCTTATAAAGTGTTCAAGCGCCTTCGCTTTACTATTACCTATAAACAAATAGGATTATCTCCGTAATGTTGCTGTCGATTCAAATAGGTGTAGTTATACCATCAGTTACGCGAAAATATCTAATTTTTGTGAATACATAGTTTTTTTTAATACTATTGTTGTATAGTGCTGTCGATATTCAGCTTTATTTATTAACACATACTTTGTTTTTCTCTCCTTAAATATTTTTAAAGATTCTCTATTGTGTGTAATATATTGAGATATGCTTCTGTGTGTAGTTGTTGTCTTTTGTTAAGCCATGCTATAATCATGGAAATAAGAGGTCATGCTTATATCCTTTGTATGAACGTGAATCTATCGATTGACTACATTGTCCAACTAAGTTGCTTCTGAGCCAATGCATGTCTTTTTCCTACAGGTTCGGACACCCTTTCTGAACATACCTATCCCTTCCAAAATTTTCATTTTTAAAATACAATACTTCGATGATTTCTTTTGCGTTCGTTCTAATATATTCCGTAATATTTCACTTACAAACTAATTTGTCAATTCCGCAGCAGTTACTGTCCCAATATTATTTTTAAATTTTTTGTTTCCTTAGTTGGTCGATTATACAAATAACAATAAAGATGATGACGGTTTTGTAATCTTTTTTCGCTTTTTTTCATATCATTGTTTGATTTTTTCTTGGTTTGTTGCTTTCCAGTTGATCATACTTTTATTTGCGTTCACCATGTTATCTGTTGTTTGTTTAACGTATTCGAAGGTTTCCGACCATTAGTTGCCAGTAGTAGCTGAAGGATTTATTAATATATTTGCTAAAAGATTGTTAACTTCAAATTACCATCGTCAATATTAATTCTTGCTATGATTATCTCAGTTTAATTTGTACAGGTTGAATCTTACTCTCGATTTACACAAAATCTCAGTTATCAAAACGTCAGAAAATAGATCATTGTTTATCTTTACATATATCATTTTGCTTTATCAAATTTGTATTCATTTCAAACAGTTTATATCCTAAAACACCGTTAAACGATAGTTGAGAACCCATCAGTATTGCACACACAAAAAATGTGGTGCGCTAAGATACGCTCCAGAATTATGATTACATTGGGAAACATTAGAAAAAGAAAACCATATCAACAAGTTTTTTTTAACAAAAACACTACTTAATGCAAATCCGATAAAGCTCATTTAGTTAAAAAAACAACAGTTTTTATAAGTAATGTAATGAACAACGGCAGGATCGCCAATGAATAATACACTGACTACAGCCTTGTACACATCTGTTTGCAGTACAGCCTATGTAAATGTATACTTGGACTACAAAAGTAAATTTCCAAGTGGGATCGCTGTGCTGAACGTTGGTATTGGTGAGAAATAAGTTATTTGCATAACTGCAGCAGACAATTCCTAATATTCAATCTGCAACCAACAAGTCACTATTCGTGATCCAAACTCCCCCCTCATATTTCTAGTTGACTGGATTGTCTAACTCCCTAAGCTAGCAGATTAATATCTGTGAGACAAGTTTTGTTGACACGTTTCTTTATTCTACAACAGTGTTGTTCGTTTACTGCATACGAGCAACAGTCGCGGCGTAGTTAGAGATAACGGAAAAGAATTGTTCCCCACTCTGTTTACTTCCGCTTAATCTCAACAGAGTGTAAATGGATAACTTGTCAATAGATGTTTAGCGGTATACCGATCGCAGGAGCTAATGCTCATTAAAATAACCCTTTCTAATAGTCAGGATAAAGTTGTAGTACTTCACTGAATTATTGAATATGTACATATGATAATTATGAGTATTCGAATTAATATACATACTGAAAATTCCCAAAACAGTACAATTTAACGCACAAAGTATCAGATGAGCACAAATATACGTATTATATTTGGAATTCGTAATAAATGCACAATCAAGTACAAAGTAATCGACAGTTAGTACAAACACCACAGTACACCAAACATCGGCAACAAATCTCGTGTTTCCAACCGGAAGATCTAATCTCGTCGGGTGACCTCGCGAAATCACGCCTTATGGTAGCATATGACATTCGTTCCGACAACATACTATGCTCCGCGTATATCGCTAGTATAGGCTAGGGTCTTCCAACGTGTGTAAATGTCCGCTTAGACCAATCAAGATTAAACTCCTAACGTCCAATTCCATTAGTGATGTAAACAAAATGGGCTACGAAAAATCAGTAAATTTCTACTGAGTCTAATGCACTGATAAATTCTCGTAAATACATCACATCAGACCCTGAGCACGATCAAAAACAAATACAAATCTAATCTAGGTTAATCAAAAGTATAAGGAACGACCGTGAGCCGTGGTATACAACGAAAGCAAAACAGATGGAAAGGGCAGCTTCTGTAGTTAAGTGTGGAACGATCCATGGGTATGTGGAGCATTCTCCTCTTCGTGACCAGAGTACAGCAGCGTCTCTTCCGTATCCAGCCTTTGCTGTCCAGCTTGGGTAATGTTGTTTCCCCAGTTGTCCAATGCATCTTTGGCTTCGGTTTCATTTTGGCCACAACCAGATGATGATCTGAAGCTACGTTAACTCTCTTAGTTCACAAGTCCTCCATTGACCTGAATTTTTTAGTGACGTAAATTTGGTCTATCTGGTTCTCTATAGTGTTGTTCGGTGACACCCATGTAGCTTTCTGCATACATTTGTGGTGGAATATGGTGCCACCTATAACCATTTTGTTGAGTGCACATAGATTTGCAAATCTCTCACCATTCTCATTCCTTTCTCTCAGTCTTTATCGTCCTATGATATCTTCATATCCGGTGTTGTCCATTCCGACTTTAGAGTTTAGATCTCCCATCAGAATGGTGAGGTCTTTTCTTGAGCACTTATCTATCATTGATTTCATGCGCTCATAGAACTGATCTTTATTGTCGTCGTCGCTATCATTAGTTGGTGCATAACACTGGATAATGTTCATTGGGATTCCCTCCTTCATTCTTTTAAGGGATGCTTTGATGATCGTGGATCCGTGAGATTCCTATCCTATAAGTGTTTTTCGTTCTTCTTTGGACAGGGTCGGAGCAACTCCATGGGTATGTGGAGCATTCTCCTCTTCGTGACCAGAGTACAGCAGCGTCTCTTCCGTATCCAGCCTTTGCTGTCCAGCTTGGGTCCAATGTGTTTCACTGATTCCGAACATAGCCAAGTTGTATCTCCTCATTTCTGTTGCTATTTGCCTGGTCCTCCCGGTCTCCCACGTTGTCCGATCATTCCATGTACCTTTATTAATCGTTGCTCTAGTTGTTAGAAGGTACATCGATCTCGTGACTTCCGGAGCGTTTCGGCGTCACAATTCTTTTAAACGAAGATCCTTCAACTCCCAGTGCATATTTCAAATTGTGTATTCTGGTTAGAGTATTTTTAACAAGGTTTTGTTCCAATATATAAGAGAGGATCAAAATCATCCTGTGATAACCATGGAAGAACTAGTTTAACTAATATAGCATTTAAAGTATTAACCTCAATAATTATTGGACGTTTAGCAAAGACTCATGAACTGCAAACACGAGAAAATCAGTCTGGCTTCAGACCCGATCGTGGCTGTGTCGACCACATATTCACCATATTCGTCAGATTTCAGAACACAGGCATGCTTATCGGCGTCCGACAATGATAGTTGTGCTTGACTTGAAAGCAGCGTTTGACTCTGTAAACCGAGAGGTTCTGTGGCAGTGTCTGTCATTGAAAGGTGTACCTCGGAAGTACATAGACCTTATGAAGGCTCTTTACTCGAACACTAGTAGTCGAGTCAGAGCCTATAGAGTAGTGTCATCTGATTTTGCGACCTCAAGTAGTGTCTGGCAAGGTTGTCCACTATCTCCATTTTTGTTTAACTTCATTATAGACTTACTGTTGGAGATGACGTTCTCGTCATCTGAGTTTTCGGGCATTGATCTCGTACCAGGCGGTCCACTTATCGACTTAGAATACACAAATGACATAGTTGTGTTTGGTGAAGACTCTGATAAAATGCGGAGTCTTTTGTTAGCACTGAGCAACAATGCCAGGATGTTTGGGATGCGTTTCTCCCCCTCTGAATGCTAGTTGTTGCTTGAGGACTGGCCTGCGTCAACACCTGAACTAAGGATAGGGAGTGAAGTAGTCGAACGCGTCGACAACTTCACTTATCTTGGAAGTCTGATGATCCCTAATGGGTTGGTGTCTTAAAAAGTCTCTGCACCGGTTCAAAAAACTCGTTTGGCTATTGCCAACTTACGTCACCTGTGATGGAGGCAAGAAATCCGCCTATCAATTTACGGATGAGTATACTAAGCTGACTAGTAGGACTTCCCTGGAAGAGGTAATAAATCTGCGAGCGTATGAGAATAAGTTGACTCCCCTATCTCATGATTGCTGAGGTAGGGGACCATCGTGCTGAATATTCAATCAAGTTTTTATGATGTGTAAAACTGTCTGCAGCACTATAAATAAATAATATATTTGTAATATCCTTGGTAATGATGTCTGCAGCACTATTCTGCATTTGCTTACTAATCTGTACTTCTATTCGGTTTGTCAAAGTGAATGTTAATTGCCGTAAGTTGTAATTATATTGCTTTAGAAATGAGAACTTGAGAAGTCGCAGATCCACAAGTGGAAACTGGAGACGTGTTAATTCAGAACAAGTGAAATTTATGAACGATATTAGATCATTACAGACAGTCTCCAGATTTCGGCTACGAAAGAATTTATAGACATGAATAAGCATAAACACTGGACACTTCTTTACAGGGTTCCTAAAATCACACCATTGCAAAGCGTGAACTCTGACTACGCTCGATATTTTATTAGTGCTCACGCTTAAGACAAATTATAATTTCAGTTGTCAAATTTTTTCTAACCTTTTGTTTCTGCAAAAAATGCGTTGATGTAAACAAAAATAAGATACACACTAAGTAAGCAGGAGAGCTTGGATTCAATAATTCGCATATATGAATCTTACCCTATCTAGCTATGCATCACAAAGAGTAATACAGACTAGCCACGCTGTAATTGAAACTGAAAACCACTAACTTAAACTGAACTATTCACACACCTCTCAACGAAGTGCACTAACAATATTTTTTGTCTTTTAAAAGAATTTAGTCACTATTGATCAGTTAGAAAATATAAACTATCTAGTTCAATGAACAAGACTATACAAACAACATTTAATGCTACTGGATCTAACTGCAAAATAGACTATTTCCCAGAAACCACAAAAAAAAAACAAATTCGTGTTAAAAAGTAATTAATACTTTTGTTAAATCAGGAATATAAACATCAAATACAAACGTATAAGTAGAAAAGCATATATTATTCATTGGTTAATTTTAAAAGGAAAAAAATACTTTTAACGCTCAAAATAAAATGAGTAGTTTTGTGCTCATTTATTTATCTCGAAAGAATTGTTAAAATATCCCTTCACTTTGCGCTATTACATAAACATTCTAACAATTTATTTCTATCAATCTGAAACAATTTCCAATACGACACCATTTGTAAACCAGTATCAACGTCATCATTAACATTATTATTATTAATGATATTATTATCATCATTATTATTGGAGTTGCTATCAAACTTTCCATCCACTATTGACACGAAAGAAAATTTTGCCTATCAAATGAAAACGAAAACCTAAATAAAATATAACAATCGCCAAATTAATGCAACAGAATTAATTTTACATAATGAATAAAACCAATGGCAAGGCAGCACGCAACTGAATATATGAATTACTAAAATCACATATTCTTTATTCATTTAAAATAAAATGAACTCGGTTTCGCTGATTGAAATTTAGAAGCAAATAATCAAACGACACATACATGCATGAATCCTAAAACGTCTTCTACTACATCTTCCTTAAGTGTGCCTTGACTGGTACTCACTGTGTTGCACTATAGAATATTCGATTTCCCTTTGTAGATATTGAAACATACTACTGTAGAGGCTATTGCAACACTGGCTGTCTTCACCTACATTTGTTTTTGTGTATGGAATAGAAGAACTAGGTTATCTGTGTAGTTTAAATCAGCTAGCTGCGTCCAAGATTTCCACTGTATCCAGCGCTTTCCATGAGATATGGAGTTCTCAATAATCCGTTCAACAACCATTGGAAATAGAAAAAGCTAAAATAGTCAGTTTTGTCTGATACCAGTCTTCACCTAGTATGCACCTGTGAGCTACTCTCCATGCACAACTTTTCAGCCCAGTCTTTTATAGGGGTTTCATATAATAGTGACGATCTTCCCACGTACTCCATTATGTCGACGAAGGTTTTTGACCCACGCTTCTAAATACTTCCTTATAATTAGGGAATTGGGTGTATAGTGATGAGTTCCATTCAATTGGTTGTTCAACAATGATCCGCTGTGTCGCGATTTGGTCGGTACATAATCTACCCTTACGAAAACCAGCTTGTTAATCTCGATGTTGACCATTCACTGAATCATTCATTCAGTTCGACAAACCTGTGTTTAAAAAATTTGGTTGGTACTATTAGTAGTTTTTGGTGCTTCCGTAGTTCTAACATTGACTAAGATCTTTTTTGGTATCTCTCTAGTTTGTTGGTATTTGTTCTTCTTCCCAGATCTTTCGAAAAAGAATGTGTAACATCATCATAGTTACCGCTGTATGTGAGTCTAATGCCTCAGCTAGTATGTCGTTTGGTTGTGCTGTTTCGTCATGCTTGATCCGCCTGGTGGTCTTGCTGGTTTTTTCTATTATCCGTGGTATCGTCTATAGGTAGGTTTGTTTGTGTTGCTTTGCTTTGATATTTGGTGAGTTCAGTAACTCTGGTTCATTCGATAGCTCTTAAAAGTTGCGTACTCATCTGTTTCACTAGCTTTGAACCGCAGTGATTGGTTTTCCTCCTTCATCCTTGACTGGTCGTTCTGGTTTACTGTACATCTCTCTGCTAGCTCCGTTGTATCATGTAGTCTGCTGTGACGGGCGGTGTCCTAAATCTGATATGGATACACGGTATGTTACGCGCTAATACCTCCAACTGACTACTTGAGCAAGAAAGTGTATTGGGCTACCGAATAAAATGCACAAATACTCATTCATATATATACCACACTAATTTTTAGGAAATTAATCCATTTCTTAACCAATGAAATGCACTTGTACTTTAGGTCACTTCAAGATTGTCGTCTACTGACCTACTCATTAGGCTACTCCTGATTGGCTCTCCATGTCACCTCTCCCTCCTGAAAAATAAGTCCTGCTCGTTGGATTTAACTGAAGGCGTTGAAGGGAATGTCGTCTTCTAGATAATTTTCTTGGAGTCTGGCCACCACTTTTTCCGCGCTTATCCTGATGCTACAAACTGACTGCATGAATTCCATAATCTAGTTGCAAGTTCGAGCTAAGAGGTTCTTTAACTGAATTATTCGTTTATCGCGGGTGTAGTTTACATTTCGGCTATTAGGAAACGTGTTTAATTCTCTTCATCTTGAGTTTATATTCTCGTCTCCTTCTTTGTGGATTCATGCCATCAAGTAAATTCGTAGTCTTCTTTCCTAACATTGACTCATCAGGGGTGGATTCGGGTTTATTCCTGGTGATTTCGTCGATCGTGCCCTCACCTTGTGATCATTTTGAAAATCACTAGAAAATATCCGCTTCCACTTGTGCATCATATGAGGATATGAACATACTTGATTTCAAATAAGATTGGATTAACGATCGAGCATTTTTGAATCTTGATTACAAATTAGATTAAATGGATAATCAAACACTTTAAATTTTGTGATCTAATCAAGACCTGATAGATTGAAGGATTCATCAGTAACGCCATAACATTTGGATTTGATTATTAGATCATCAAATTTGACTGTACATTTGGAAATTCCAGAAATTTTGATTGGGATGCCCAATGGATTGTTTATGCAATCGTTAGTACGATGAACGCTTGGCCGGCCAATTTCGTGCCACGTTTTGCGAGAAATCAAAGTAACATCGGATACAGTGTCTAACTGCAAAGTGATAATACGATCATTGACATTAGTTGATAAATACTTGCATAAGTATTGGCGGTTAGATTTCGACAATACATGTACACAATTTATCCATTTTGGCCTTCCATGGTGGGCTGATGGTTTGGTGCGTTTTTTCGGCCGTTATTGACTGCTGTTTTCTTGCTTTTTCTTTCTTGAATCGTGCCCAAGCTCTCTAGAAATATCCGTTTTTTATGCTGGTGCTTCTCGTAAAGAAGTAAATTCAACTGTGTAAAGAGTGGGAGATGTCATGGTTTCAAAACACATTTGGTTGTTCCATGTGGAGTCATGTCTTTTCTATATGAAGACATTTCAATTCCTAAAGTAGAGTTAGTGTTTTTTTTATGGTTAAAGTGCTTTCAGAGAGTTTTTTATTACGTGGTGAGATTGATAACCCAACGTCCACCCGTCCTCGTTTACAAAGGTTTGGAACAAGCAGTAATCCTAGAGGAGATCCATGTGAAGGTCTGGGATTTCTAAACATGTAAACATACTTATAAGATTCAATTTGTTTTCTACTGTAATTCCATCCAATTAAAATTTGTAAAAGTTGATTACAACTCTAATGCAGTCATTGGATATTTGTTTTATTGTAAGTTTCCATACTTCGTGTTCTCCATTCTCCTGTTCATAATGTTTGTCATTATAATTTCGACTCAGCTATCATCTGTCATACGCATCTTATCGTATGTTCAGATAAATAACTTCCCAAATCCGTTTTGGGAAATATACTTCTTTGATTACGCGCAAACTAGGTAGATCTCGTTAATAAATTAACGTTCGTACTGCGTTGCATACATATAGGCAATAACAGTACAATAATTGTATGCAAACTTGTCCAGGATTTTACGCGTTACTCTATCACGTGGTTGTTAACTTCGATCCTACAGGTAGGAACTTTAGTTTTCTTGGGGTTACACACACGATCAACCAACTATTTCAGAATACAACTAAACTTGTCGTAGAATCTGGCACACACCATCATTGACTATTGTTCTTCTGGTTGCTGTGTTAATGTTTCGTTCACTAATAAAATCCCCCGACGGCAATCTCAAACAACCTGAAATCTGGGACTTGACGCGATAGTTTCATCTAACGGAACACTGTTCTCATCATTCAGACATTCCTATGTTATTTTTATAGCATAACCTAATAATTGTTGGACTCAAAGAAACTATAAAACACAATAAGTATATCAGTAAACATCATTACGTATGGTTTTTTTCGCAATTTCGCCACATACTAGCCAAAGCACATGGAAATTCTACATAACCACTAGCCTTCAAGACATTAAACAATGTGTAAGTTGTAGAGTATTCATAGGTAAGACACGATGCCCAACTTTATAATAATATCTGCATTCAAAACTTACATTCTATGTTACGTTAATACAATCTCATTAAAATGAAATTTCAAACTAAAACAATAGCTTCTAAGAAATTCTTCTCAAAACCCAAATAAATTTTAACAGGTCTATCCGATCTCTTTATTCGCTATAAATCCAGCCAACGACGACATTCCGAAAACAGCTTTTAAGGATGTAGACGAGGCAAACGCGTTACCTGACGAAAGTAACAAGTGATAAAGGAAGTGCATCGTACATTTCGTTATTTTCTTAATTTCTCTAGTGATACATCCTAAAAACACTAAAGAGTTTAATTGTATGTGACTGATCATTTGTGTTTTGGTTAACACACATTGGTACAAATGTTTCATCAAATAAATTTCAAACACCTGATTATACATCAGATTTGCAAAAGCATATAACATCATTTATTTGAAAGGCAATTAGCTAGGTGAACGAGATCTCGGTTTGTCGGTACAATATTCATCGTCAAAGAACACCTAACTTATCGAAATAATTCATGTACTATCACGGTGTTTCGGTTTAATACGTTATAAGTTTGTCATGCTTACAGATAAGATAAATTGCCTGAAGGACCAAGTTGTATAAGTGAATTGGTCATCACTTCGGTCCCACAATTTAGCTAGTTTTAAACCGATAAATGTTAATGGATGGTAAGTAACAAGAGACAAATGTAAGACATTCCGATAACTAATTTTCTAATATATAACGCCTATCACAGTTCATTTATTTTATGTCATGAAGTATAAGATGTCGACTATGACCGAGTGTCAGATATAATTGGCAACTGATTCCTGTGCAGAAGTATATGATTTAAGAATATTACACGATTGCCAACAATCGGTCAGCCAGGTATATTGTGTTTAAGATTTGTCACCATTAGAATCGTAAGAAGTATGATTTACAATAATGAATCGATCGAGACAATTTTATCATACTTGTCATCATCAATGTCAGGGGAAATAATAAAAGTCAAACAAACTTACACTATGTTCCCCACACTTCTTAGATTCGGCGTTATTAGCGACATTAGAACTTGTTCGATTCCTAATAAAAAACAGTAGAATGTTAATCGTTATGATTGCAAAAAATTATATTGATGAAATACAAATCCATATTACTGATGTTTGCTTGTCTTACTCTAAGTAAAAAAATAGTTGGATATTCAGAACGTTTTAATATATTGAAAGCGCAATGTAATTTCAGTGCATAATGGTAGCTAACGCTTGAATTCGGGATACTCACTTCATAATACGGACAGCTGGTGATCCAGATGTACGTGGTTTCGACAGTTTCCGAAAACAAAGTATTTATAATTAGAATAAATAGTACGCTTTATTTCAATTAAACATAAGATAAAGAGATAGATAACGATTATACAAAACATTTTGAATTCTGAATGTAGATTACTAACTCTTACCGTGCTTCAACTTATTTGGTATGATGAAATATGAATTTGAGTAAAGAACTTCGCGAAATTTTTCTCGCCCGAATCGAATAAAATCCATGACACATAATCGCGTCGTTTTACAAAGCCGCCCACAAGTTATTGGAACAGTGAGACATGGCATTTCTCCCATTTCTGCACATTCAATAAACATAAATGCGGAGTAGCTGACCATAAGGACAAATTTAGCAAACGCACCAAACCATCAGCCCACCATGGAAGGCCAAAATGTACTGTTATTGCCTATATGTATGCAACGCAGTACGAACGTTAATTTATTAACGAGATCTACCTAGTTTGCGCGTAATCAAAGAAGTATATTTCCCAAAACGGATTTGGGAAGTTATTTATCTGAACATACGATAAGATGCGTATGACAGATGATAGCTGAGTCGAAATTATAATGACAAACATTATGAACAGGAGAATGGAGAACACGAAGTATGGAAACTTACAATAAAACAAATATCCAATGACTGCATTAGAGTTGTAATCAACTTTTACAAATTTTAATTGGATGGAATTACAGTAGAAAACAAATTGAATCTTATAAGTATGTTTACATGTTTAGAAATCCCAGACCTTCACATGGATCTCCTCTAGGATTACTGCTTGTTCCAAACCTTTGTAAACGAGGACGGGTGGACGTTGGGTTATCAATCTCACCACGTAATAAAAAACTCTCTGAAAGCACTTTAACCATAAAAAAAACACTAACTCTACTTTAGGAATTGAAATGTCTTCATATAGAAAAGACATGACTCCACATGGAACAACCAAATGTGTTTTGAAACCATGACATCTCCCACTCTTTACACAGTTGAATTTACTTCTTTACGAGAAGCACCAGCATAAAAAACGGATATTTCTAGAGAGCTTGGGCACGATTCAAGAAAGAAAAAGCAAGAAAACAGCAGTCAATAACGGCCGAAAAAACGCACCAAACCATCAGCCCACCATGGAAGGCCAAAATGGATAAATTGTGTACATGTATTGTCGAAATCTAACCGCCAATACTTATGCAAGTATTTATCAACTAATGTCAATGATCGTATTATCACTTTGCAGTTAGACACTGTATCCGATGTTACTTTGATTTCTCGCAAAACGTGGCACGAAATTGGCCGGCCAAGCGTTCATCGTACTAACGATTGCATAAACAATCCATTGGGCATCCCAATCAAAATTTCTGGAATTTCCAAATGTACAGTCAAATTTGATGATCTAATAATCAAATCCAAATGTTATGGCGTTACTGATGAATCCTTCAATCTATCAGGTCTTGATTAGATCACAAAATTTAAAGTGTTTGATTATCCATTTAATCTAATTTGTAATCAAGATTCAAAAATGCTCGATCGTTAATCCAATCTTATTTGAAATCAAGTATGTTCATATCCTCATATGATGCACAAGTGGAAGCGGATATTTTCTAGTGATTTTCAAAATGATCACAAGGTGAGGGCACGATCGACGAAATCACCAGGAATAAACCCGAATCCACCCCTGATGAGTCAATGTTAGGAAAGAAGACTACGAATTTACTTGATGGCATGAATCCACAAAGAAGGAGACGAGAATATAAACTCAAGATGAAGAGAATTAAACACGTTTCCTAATAGCCGAAATGTAAACTACACCCGCGATAAACGAATAATTCAGTTAAAGAACCTCTTAGCTCGAACTTGCAACTAGATTATGGAATTCATGCAGTCAGTTTGTAGCATCAGGATAAGCGCGGAAAAAGTGGTGGCCAGACTCCAAGAAAATTATCTAGAAGACGACATTCCCTTCAACGCCTTCAGTTAAATCCAACGAGCAGGACTTATTTTTCAGGAGGGAGAGGTGACATGGAGAGCCAATCAGGAGTAGCCTAATGAGTAGGTCAGTAGACGACAATCTTGAAGTGACCTAAAGTACAAGTGCATTTCATTGGTTAAGAAATGGATTAATTTCCTAAAAATTAGTGTGGTATATATATGAATGAGTATTTGTGCATTTTATTCGGTAGCCCAATACACTTTCTTGCTCAAGTAGTCAGTTGGAGGTATTAGCGCGTAACATACCGTGTATCCATATCAGATTTAGGACACCGCCCGTCACAGCAGACTACATGATACAACGGAGCTAGCAGAGAGATGTACAGTAAACCAGAACGACCAGTCAAGGATGAAGGAGGAAAACCAATCACTGCGGTTCAAAGCTAGTGAAACAGATGAGTACGCAACTTTTAAGAGCTATCGAATGAACCAGAGTTACTGAACTCACCAAATATCAAAGCAAAGCAACACAAACAAACCTACCTATAGACGATACCACGGATAATAGAAAAAACCAGCAAGACCACCAGGCGGATCAAGCATGACGAAACAGCACAACCAAACGACATACTAGCTGAGGCATTAGACTCACATACAGCGGTAACTATGATGATGTTACACATTCTTTTTCGAAAGATCTGGGAAGAAGAACAAATACCAACAAACTAGAGAGATACCAAAAAAGATCTTAGTCAATGTTAGAACTACGGAAGCACCAAAAACTACTAATAGTACCAACCAAATTTTTTAAACACAGGTTTGTCGAACTGAATGAATGATTCAGTGAATGGTCAACATCGAGATTAACAAGCTGGTTTTCGTAAGGGTAGATTATGTACCGACCAAATCGCGACACAGCGGATCATTGTTGAACAACCAATTGAATGGAACTCATCACTATACACCCAATTCCCTAATTATAAGGAAGTATTTAGAAGCGTGGGTCAAAAACCTTCGTCGACATAATGGAGTACGTGGGAAGATCGTCACTATTATATGAAACCCCTATAAAAGACTGGGCTGAAAAGTTGTGCATGGAGAGTAGCTCACAGGTGCATACTAGGTGAAGACTGGTATCAGACAAAACTGACTATTTTAGCTTTTTCTATTTCCAATGGTTGTTGAACGGATTATTGAGAACTCCATATCTCATGGAAAGCGCTGGATACAGTGGAAATCTTGGACGCAGCTAGCTGATTTAAACTACACAGATAACCTAGTTCTTCTATTCCATACACAAAAACAAATGTAGGTGAAGACAGCCAGTGTTGCAATAGCCTCTACAGTAGTATGTTTCAATATCTACAAAGGGAAATCGAATATTCTATAGTGCAACACAGTGAGTACCAGTCAAGGCACACTTAAGGAAGATGTAGTAGAAGACGTTTTAGGATTCATGCATGTATGTGTCGTTTGATTATTTGCTTCTAAATTTCAATCAGCGAAACCGAGTTCATTTTATTTTAAATGAATAAAGAATATGTGATTTTAGTAATTCATATATTCAGTTGCGTGCTGCCTTGCCATTGGTTTTATTCATTATGTAAAATTAATTCTGTTGCATTAATTTGGCGATTGTTATATTTTATTTAGGTTTTCGTTTTCATTTGATAGGCAAAATTTTCTTTCGTGTCAATAGTGGATGGAAAGTTTGATAGCAACTCCAATAATAATGATGATAATAATATCATTAATAATAATAATGTTAATGATGACGTTGATACTGGTTTACAAATGGTGTCGTATTGGAAATTGTTTCAGATTGATAGAAATAAATTGTTAGAATGTTTATGTAATAGCGCAAAGTGAAGGGATATTTTAACAATTCTTTCGAGATAAATAAATGAGCACAAAACTACTCATTTTATTTTGAGCGTTAAAAGTATTTTTTTCCTTTTAAAATTAACCAATGAATAATATATGCTTTTCTACTTATACGTTTGTATTTGATGTTTATATTCCTGATTTAACAAAAGTATTAATTACTTTTTAACACGAATTTGTTTTTTTTTTGTGGTTTCTGGGAAATAGTCTATTTTGCAGTTAGATCCAGTAGCATTAAATGTTGTTTGTATAGTCTTGTTCATTGAACTAGATAGTTTATATTTTCTAACTGATCAATAGTGACTAAATTCTTTTAAAAGACAAAAAATATTGTTAGTGCACTTCGTTGAGAGGTGTGTGAATAGTTCAGTTTAAGTTAGTGGTTTTCAGTTTCAATTACAGCGTGGCTAGTCTGTATTACTCTTTGTGATGCATAGCTAGATAGGGTAAGATTCATATATGCGAATTATTGAATCCAAGCTCTCCTGCTTACTTAGTGTGTATCTTATTTTTGTTTACATCAACGCATTTTTTGCAGAAACAAAAGGTTAGAAAAAATTTGACAACTGAAATTATAATTTGTCTTAAGCGTGAGCACTAATAAAATATCGAGCGTAGTCAGAGTTCACGCTTTGCAATGGTGTGATTTTAGGAACCCTGTAAAGAAGTGTCCAGTGTTTATGCTTATTCATGTCTATAAATTCTTTCGTAGCCGAAATCTGGAGACTGTCTGTAATGATCTAATATCGTTCATAAATTTCACTTGTTCTGAATTAACACGTCTCCAGTTTCCACTTGTGGATCTGCGACTTCTCAAGTTCTCATTTCTAAAGCAATATAATTACAACTTACGGCAATTAACATTCACTTTGACAAACCGAATAGAAGTACAGATTAGTAAGCAAATGCAGAATAGTGCTGCAGACATCATTACCAAGGATATTACAAATATATTATTTATTTATAGTGCTGCAGACAGTTTTACACATCATAAAAACTTGATTGAATATTCAGCACGATGGTCCCCTACCTCAGCAATCATGAGATAGGGGAGTCAACTTATTCTCATACGCTCGCAGATTTATTACCTCTTCCAGGGAAGTCCTACTAGTCAGCTTAGTATACTCATCCGTAAATTGATAGGCGGATTTCTTGCCTCCATCACAGGTGACGTAAGTTGGCAATAGCCAAACGAGTTTTTTGAACCGGTGCAGAGACTTTTTAAGACACCAACCCATTAGGGATCATCAGACTTCCAAGATAAGTGAAGTTGTCGACGCGTTCGACTACTTCACTCCCTATCCTTAGTTCAGGTGTTGACGCAGGCCAGTCCTCAAGCAACAACTAGCATTCAGAGGGGGAGAAACGCATCCCAAACATCCTGGCATTGTTGCTCAGTGCTAACAAAAGACTCCGCATTTTATCAGAGTCTTCACCAAACACAACTATGTCATTTGTGTATTCTAAGTCGATAAGTGGACCGCCTGGTACGAGATCAATGCCCGAAAACTCAGATGACGAGAACGTCATCTCCAACAGTAAGTCTATAATGAAGTTAAACAAAAATGGAGATAGTGGACAACCTTGCCAGACACTACTTGAGGTCGCAAAATCAGATGACACTACTCTATAGGCTCTGACTCGACTACTAGTGTTCGAGTAAAGAGCCTTCATAAGGTCTATGTACTTCCGAGGTACACCTTTCAATGACAGACACTGCCACAGAACCTCTCGGTTTACAGAGTCAAACGCTGCTTTCAAGTCAAGCACAACTATCATTGTCGGACGCCGATAAGCATGCCTGTGTTCTGAAATCTGACGAATATGGTGAATATGTGGTCGACACAGCCACGATCGGGTCTGAAGCCAGACTGATTTTCTCGTGTTTGCAGTTCATGAGTCTTTGCTAAACGTCCAATAATTATTGAGGTTAATACTTTAAATGCTATATTAGTTAAACTAGTTCTTCCATGGTTATCACAGGATGATTTTGATCCTCTCTTATATATTGGAACAAAACCTTGTTAAAAATACTCTAACCAGAATACACAATTTGAAATATGCACTGGGAGTTGAAGGATCTTCGTTTAAAAGAATTGTGACGCCGAAACGCTCCGGAAGTCACGAGATCGATGTACCTTCTAACAACTAGAGCAACGATTAATAAAGGTACATGGAATGATCGGACAACGTGGGAGACCGGGAGGACCAGGCAAATAGCAACAGAAATGAGGAGATACAACTTGGCTATGTTCGGAATCAGTGAAACACATTGGACCCAAGCTGGACAGCAAAGGCTGGATACGGAAGAGACGCTGCTGTACTCTGGTCACGAAGAGGAGAATGCTCCACATACCCATGGAGTTGCTCCGACCCTGTCCAAAGAAGAACGAAAAACACTTATAGGATAGGAATCTCACGGATCCACGATCATCAAAGCATCCCTTAAAAGAATGAAGGAGGGAATCCCAATGAACATTATCCAGTGTTATGCACCAACTAATGATAGCGACGACGACAATAAAGATCAGTTCTATGAGCGCATGAAATCAATGATAGATAAGTGCTCAAGAAAAGACCTCACCATTCTGATGGGAGATCTAAACTCTAAAGTCGGAATGGACAACACCGGATATGAAGATATCATAGGACGATAAAGACTGAGAGAAAGGAATGAGAATGGTGAGAGATTTGCAAATCTATGTGCACTCAACAAAATGGTTATAGGTGGCACCATATTCCACCACAAATGTATGCAGAAAGCTACATGGGTGTCACCGAACAACACTATAGAGAACCAGATAGACCAAATTTACGTCACTAAAAAATTCAGGTCAATGGAGGACTTGTGAACTAAGAGAGTTAACGTAGCTTCAGATCATCATCTGGTTGTGGCCAAAATGAAACCGAAGCCAAAGATGCATTGGACAACTGGGGAAACAACATTACAAAAGTCCAATACAGCCTTCCTTCGACATACTGACAAACTCAACGAATGCACATTCAACTAAATGGTTATAGGTGGCACCATAATCCATCAAAAATGTATGCATAATGCTACATGTCGACGGATTGAAAAGAAGGACACCTCATCAAGATATCAAAGAAACGAGATCTCAGAAAATGTGAGAACTATGGAGGCACCACACTACTATCAGTACCAGGAAGAGTTTTCAACAGAATGTTGCTGAACCGGATGAAAGAGTCAGTAGATGTCCAACTTCGAGATCAACAGGCTGGATTCCATAAGGATTGGTTGTGCACAGACCAAATCGCGCCACTACGGATCATCGTTGTGCAATCGATTGAATGGAACTCATCACTATACATCAACTTCCTTGATTATAAGAAGGCGTTTGACAATGTGGATAGGAGGACCTTATGGAACCACCTTCGGCACTATGGTGTACCTGAAAAAATCGTAAACATCATACAAAGTTTACACGACGGACTACAGTGCAGAGCCGTGCATGGAGGACAGCTAATAGATGCATTCCAAGTGAGGATAAGAGTCAGAAAAGGCTGCATACTCTCCCTATTTCTCTTCCTTGTGGTAGTTGACTGGATTATAAAGACATCAACATCGGAGACGAAACACGGAATACATTAGACAGCTCGGAATCAATTAGACTTCACAGACAATCTAGTCCTTCCATCCCATACACAAAAGCAACTGCAGGTGAAAACACCCAGTATAGCAGAAGCCTCTACGCCAGTAGGCCTCAGCATACACAAAGGAAAAGTAAAATCCTTAAATACAACACAAATAATACCAACCCAATCACACTTGATGGAGAAGCTCTGGAAGAGGTGGAAACATTCACGTACCTAGTCAGCATCATCGATGAACAAGGAGGATCGGATACAGACGTAAGGGAGAGGATTGGCAAATCAAGGAGTACGTAAATCTCCGGTTATTGTAGGCCCATACTAAACTTCAATAAGGAGATACAACATTTATTGTTATTACTAGTATTATTTCATTATTATTATCATTACGTAAAATGGGGTGGTGACGGATGTCTGATAGATCCATTGGCATTATAAACAGAATGTGCACAGAAGTTTGATAGTAATCGGACGACTATCATTTTTCTGTTTGATTAGGAGAAAGAATTCTCAAAGTAAAACAATTAACTTATTGCCAGTTGACTTGCAGTAAATTTTATACGTTGCTTTATGTGGTGAATTTCATGTAATTAAGTTGTTAGATGGATGCCGTAGTATAGTCTGACCAAACCAAAGTAATCAAAAACGATAACTTTGTACGACCCAGATAAAAAGATTGGTAATTTCAGTGAAATGATAGTAACAATACGAGCTGCATTACCTCGATTTTTCGCCAGTTTTTCCATCCTCAGATAAAGATTGATTGGGACTTCTTGACGTGTTTGATTTCTTATTCTTTTTTTGCTTTTTGGACGGGGTACTGGTTGCATTTACTTTCATATTTGATAGACTGTTAACTGCATTGTGTTGAAGATGAACAGGATAACTCATAGAATTACAACAAAGGCGCTCTGATTCAGATAACGCTAGACCAGGTGGTTTGCCCGACAGTCGTTGTTCTATGTATAATCTCAGTTGCCTATAGTTAAGTTATAAAATCAAATAACTGTATTAAAAACTCTCTAAATGAAATGACAATAATAAACCTATTCCCTCACATTAATCACTTGTCGAGTCCGTGTATGTAATGTGACGGTTACAGATGACAGAATAATTAAGTGTTAGGGTAAAGCTAGAGGCAATTAGAATTATCCTTATTAACAAAACTCAACTTGGCAATAAAAGTTATCTCAGATAGCCTAATTCATAAGATAAAAACCTAACTGTTATATCTTGAACTTAGATTTCTTAGTCTGTCGCGTAATACTTGAACACTCGAACGCCAGAAACCTCCCAAGTCACAAATCAAAAGGCAGAAGACAAGTAGAAGGAATGTTATTCCAAACAGTGTCGATTATGGTACAAAACTGTCAGGTATTTATAGTTTTTAATAGAAACAAAATCATTATTATAGTTATCCAATCAGCACACAGGGAGTTATCAGCATTATCCAATAGGGAAGCTACAGGTAGTGATTCTAGAATATTCTTCCCACAGCTGATTGGATGGAATATGTCCGGCTCCTTCTAGCCTTCTTAGAGCTTCCTTGACTTCACCCGTGGACCATCCTCACACTAACATTGTTTGATGGTAAGAAAATCACATTGTTGTTTTTCCATTAAACGATGAATAATAACCCAATAAAAAATGTTCACCAATATTTTACTCAGTGTTTTGTAAAATTTAGATATGGGATAGGAAAGCGAGGACATACTTCATGAAAATGAAGTGGGGATACTAAAAAATTAAGACTTCCAATGTACGGTTCTCAGTTAAAAAGCGACTTTTAAAAATAATGAACTAGTCTAGTTCCGAAGGAACTAGACTAGTTCATTATCAACAAAGGGAAGTATCTAATAACAATAAACAGATTTTGACTGAAGAGATAATGCTCCAATAACAGTCAGTTTGCCCGCTTCCAATCACAAGCAAATCATTCAGCGTTTATGTATGCAGGTAGATTGACCTCATGATACTTACACGGTAAGCTCCACTTATCTCTCTTTGTTAATGAACAAGCTTGTTTGTAGAATGGACTGTAATTATGAGTTTCAGTAATAAGCGGAGCAATGTCTTAGTGAGTAAAGAATTCAACTTTAAACCGGTAGGTTGCAGTTCCGAACACCGCCCCATCTACTTCAGTTTGGACATTGAATCAATATCACAATACTGTAGTGTGGTCTACTTATATCTATATAAGTAGTATATGGCGATCGTCAGACATAGAATGTATTTTGATAGAAGACCGACAAGGAAAGAACTGAAATGAAGCGCAATCGGTAGGAAAATGCATGAACAGTTGAATTAGAGAAGATGAACTGATATTTACAGAAGGAACAGTGAAGATTGAGAAAATGGGTTGTTATTTTGCAAATTAACTGTTTGCTGTATGGCTATCAGAATTTAGTGAGATAGTCTGTAAATTGTGAATAAATACATTCCATTGTCCCCACTTGTGTTCTCATTCACTACGATACGACTACACAAACCTATAATACGCAAAAGAGTCAACATACAATTCTAGTAATTTTCTTTACAATAATGACTTAGCTTACGTTATTGGAATCATGACTTCCGGATTATTAGGCATGGATTAAAAGATATAAATGCTTACCTCCTCTCAGCTTTTTCCAACCAGTCCCAGAGTCGGCAAATAATGCACGACGTGGAAGTCTCTGAGACGACATTCATAGAACATGTCCAAGCCACTGAAGTCAATGTTTCAAGATGGTGACACCAATTGAATTATCGTCTCTGCGCCCGAACACACGATTCCGAACCCCTGCATTACTAACATGGTGTTGCACTGGATGTCAGCAACCCTTCGGAGACAACGATGATCGAACACAGAGAGTCGTTTAACATCCTCAACTCGGAGAGGCCAGGTTTCACAAGCATAGAGCAAAACTGCTCTCATCGACGCGTTGTAGATCCGACCTTTTACAGCCAGACTAACATCACGAAGGCACCAAAGGTGGCCCAGATTGGCATAAGCCGCTCTGGCTTTCACTATACGTGAATCGGTCTCATCACTCACGCCACCACCAGCACTTATATAGCTACCTAGATACACGAACTTCTCAACTACTTCAATCTGCTCACCATCCAGGGTGAGTACAGGATGAGAATCCTGCCAGTCTTGTAGAAGCACTTTGCACTTGGAGGGTGCAAAGCACATGCCGTACCTGCGGACACTGATTAGGTGCGGATTGCATGCCTTGGGCATTATCTCACAGTAAGACAATATCATCCGCATACTCAAGGTCGAGAAGTCATTCTCCAGGCAGCAGATCCACACCACCATTACTTACATCCATCAGAGCTGTTTCCAGAATGTCGTCGATGGCAAAGTTTAAGAGGAATGGTGAGATTGGGCAACCCTGCCTAACCCCACCGCTCAAATGGAACAATGGAGAAAGGTGGTTGTATGCCCTCACTCTGTCTGAGGTGTTCGTATACAGGGCCTTTAAGATGCTAATAAACATCTCAGACACACCCTTCTTCAATAGACAATCCCAGAGAACAGTCCTGTCCAACGAATCGAAGGCAGCCCTGATATCAAGAAACACTACGATTGTTGGCCTGCGATAAGTATGACGGTGTTCTAACATTTGACGGAGGGTGAATATATGATCAATACATCATCGACCAGAATGAAATCTCACCCGCTCCTCGCGAGTCAGTCTTCCTCAGGTTTTGAACAACTTACGAAGTATGACAGAAGCCAACAGTTTGGACGCAATCGGAAGTAGACTTATCCCCCGATAGTTGTTACAGGAACAACCTGAAACCTTTTTAAAGATAGGGACAACTATCGACTCATTCCATGATGTCGGAACACCTTCTTGCTCCCAAACCTTTGTAAACAACACAGTCAGTTCCTTAGCCAGAAAGTCACTACCATCTTGAAAAAGAGCCGGAGGTAAGTCATCTGGGCCCGGTGATTTGTAGCGTTTCAAGAGTTGGAGTTCCTTGCGGACTTCCGCCTCATTCGGTGGATCAGCCGTCACCGGTCATGCGAGGCAGGACAAACTGGTTGATGTTGCCGGAGCAGCAGACCAGTTGAACTGCCTTTCGAACAATTCCGCCCATCGTCCAAGACGTCGACAGATGTTAGCAATTAGCATCCCGTCATCCTCGTAGATTGTTTCACTCACACCAAACTTCTTGCTGACAGTGGCTCGGATGAGTTGGAAGAGCTTCCGGCAGTTACCAGATGCAGCTGCTGCTTCCATCTCATTAGCACGCTCCGACCACCAGGCTTCTCGGTCCTTACGCAAGCTTTGCCCAATTTCACTACGTAACAGTCTTCGTTTGTGGCCAAACTGACGGTCACCCGGAGTAGATCGACGGGCTTCCATAAGTTGTAAGGAGCCAGAAGAAACCCAATGCTTATAAGCGGGACGTTTCGCGAAGCCGCAAGCGACTTTACTCGCCATCTTCATGGCGTCGTGAAGTTGCAGCCAATGCTCATCTATACTTTTCGGTGGGATGGTAGCTAGCCTAGAAGCTAGCTCCGCTCGATACTTACTTGCAACAGAAGTTGCAGCCACTTTACTAACATCGATCCGTTGGTGGTGGTCAATCCTCCGGCCACTGAAAAGTAAGGTGAGATTGGTGCAGACCAGGGCATGATCAGACTCCAGATAGGTACTCCAAAAGGAGCGGCAGTCTTGTACACAGTCACGCCAGCTGTAGCTGATCGCGATGTGATCAATCTGAGTCCAGGCTTGGGATGCAGAGGGAGGACGCCAGGTGGCACACCGGCGATGACTGTGCCGGAAGTTGGTGCTGGCCAGAAACAGGTTGTGGTCTGTGCACAGTTGCAGCAAACGGTCCCAGATATCTATCCTGCGACCAACAAGTCCCCATCGGCCACCTAAACGATTCTCTTCTGTGTCTAGACGCCCGACCTGTGCATTCAAGTCTCCGGATAGTACTACAATATCTGTCGAACGCGCTTTCTGGAGAACAGTTAACTGGTGGTAGAATTCATCCTTGATTGCATCCGGGCTGCAATCTGTCGGGGCATAGGCGGAGATGACGAGAAGACACCGTTTCTCACGCCGGTTTCTTATCGATTTGAAGGAACTTTCTAATCTAACAGTACATAACCGACTGTTAATGGGGATCTAACCAATCAGCGCTGTCTCAGCTATACCGCTTAATGCGACACCAACGCCTGCAAGACCAGACGAAGATGCCACAGGGTGCCTGGATAAACGCACGTAAAACAAGCTTTTCGAAGCGACAGATGGAGAGCGAATTTGTAGTACTTCACTAGAGTCTTGAATACGGGTTTCCGATAGGCGAAAAACGTCAACATTAAGACTTTCTAAAGACATAGCCAGCCCCATCTGTTGTCCGATCTGCATTAGTGTGCGAACGTTGAAGGAAGCCAGCTTGAACGGCGTACGTGGTTTCAGAAAGACTGCTTCAGTATTCGTAATCGGTGGAAGCATTCACTTTCAACCAGACAGTGACTGGAGATCGTTTAGATAGGACAGAGTTTCCACCATGGGCGAGCTACTGCATAAGTTGGAAAGGAAGGATACACAATTTGGGAATAAAGGGAGTGAAAAGGCGACGTGGTAAATAATAATAATAATAATAATAATAATAATAATAATAATAATAATGTAAATTGTCTGACTATTAGTAGGAGCGAGAATAGTATTGTCAGCAGAAATCGTCATTTCATTTATTTGTGCGTGGGCTGTGATACTGGCCGGGTGCCCAGACCGAAGCAGGTGGTTTTCTCAGGGAGCCACATCCCGAGCTTTTGACCAAAAGGTCTGATCCACAAGGCAGTGGAGCATCGTAAGGAGATTCAGTCCCATGGTAGTCGGTGACCATCAGCAGGTTCGTTCGCCATTCGTTCCATCAGGATCCTGGAGCCCATGCGCACTACTGGTTTGGAATCTAGGCCTTTCAACTCCCCTAGGTGGACTTTCCGTGTCCAACAACCAGGTTAAAGCGCCGGACATCCTCTTTCGTCCTCTCAATTTCGTAAACAACACCCCCTCCACGAGAAGGCAGTGAGTAAGACTTCCCTGGCAGAGGCTATATACGCGTGGCCATGTGATAGAGGGTTGCCCCTCCCCACTCTCGACCGTACCAGGGCATTTGGAGGCCCACTAGCCAGCCAGCCGGCGACCATACCACGTTGAAAGAACCGGTTCTCGTCCGATCATCGCAGTTAAGCAACGTTGGGCCCGGTCAGTTTTATGTTACATGAAGATCCTTACATTATATTTCAAAAAGCTGTCGTGAGGACCTTGAAACCTGATGATCTATGAGTACTGTTGCGATTTGATAGCCAAGATAAACACAAATCCATGCTGGAAGCTATTCACAGTTTATCATATCTACCTTACTAGGCAATGAGGTTTCAAGTAGCCAAAATCTTCACAAGAGGAAACAACTAGTGATGAGTAGGAATTACGGGAGACTTGTTTGAGAGGTTACATATATAATCAACAAGTGAAATGCTTACCGAATAAATGGGATCACCAGGTAGAAGTTGTTCGGTCTTGAATTCAATTTTTCCATAGTAGCAATATCTTGGATATGTGTTGGCAAATCAGCAATCCCAAACCAAGTTATAGCTTCAATCTCGTTTTTTGTACCAGGCTTCAATCGAGAAGTCCTGGGAAGTCCTTCAACAATGAATGCTCGTCTTAAAGTACCACCAATATAACGATCAATATAGAGGGACGGTAAGATACGATTTGCTAAGTCCAGACCCGTTTCTTCCATTACCTATAGAAAGATACCTAAAAATTTAAACCACTTACTTCACGAGAAGCACAATCAACAAGAGATTCATCTTGATTAATTTTGCCACCAGGTAGGCTCCAACGATTACCATAGAATCCTTGAACTAACAAGATCTAGGAATCAAATCAATAATAACCTTTCTTACCATCTTATGATGTTCGTCAATAATTATCATGCTCCCAGTAGCTGTAGACCCACGGTATTTCTTCCATTCGACAAACTTTTCTTGCCAGTTTATGCCCTTGGGTACAATAGAAGGAAACTTCTCAAATACTAATAGATTATGTATTATGAAGCTGAAAAACTACATTGCTGCGTTAGTCCAAACATATCAACACCACCAACTGAAGGATCTTCAATACAATAATCGATATAAAACCAATGGGCGCGCTCAACTTCAAAAAAGATTCTTACGAAATTCTTTGCACAATCTTCTTTCAACTCATCAGGAATATTAAGGATAAATCTCCTACAGGGTCAAAAAGGTGACAGTTAGAGGGTACTTACGTGTACAAATGTAATAAAATGTTATCTGGCACAATATGAAAAGGTTTCTGAGCAATCATTGGTCTATATCTAGAAGAGTAATAACAAAAGAGGTCAAAATCTTTCAACGATAAAAGTAAATTCTAGTATATATAGACTTTTTATGCAGCTAATCACATCGTTGAACCCCAACTATTTAGCTGTCCCACAAACTCAAGGTATCAAAGGACGACAAAAACAAACCATTGAAATCTTAACAATATATTACGGTTAGTGAAACTTCTGACATGAAAAATACGATTTCCTACAAACTTTAACTGTTCTATAGGCAGAGCAAAATAAGAAAAAAACAAGCTGCTCACTAGCTTAGACGGGAAGTTAGTATCATGCAGCATATTACAGTTGAAATAGATAAGTTGTAACTATATGGCAAAAAACAAATTTGCGCTAAGCTAATAAATGGCTTTTTAAAAAAATGACATGTTCAAAAAAATAAATCTTTAAGCACTCAAGGAAGAAGGGAATGATATATATGGTATTTCCATTGTCTTTTTTATAAACTAATAAGTTCCTGCTGATACTAAAATCTCTTATTAGGCAAGACTACAATTTATGGACAAACCAATCAGACATAAGATAACGAGTCCTGAATTTTGTCGAGAAATTCATCCATACACTTGGCTAAATATCGTTCAGAATTACAGCTTATTTCAGTTCGTGATGAAAACCGTAAATATAATTCCTAACCCTAACTATCGACTGTAACTCATGATTCCAACCGGTTTATAACCCTCATTTAGTCCTAATTAGCATGTACTCATTCTCAAGGTCGCTCTAGTGTCACTTGAAGGTTGCCCACTAATTATAGTTTCATCCAAAAAATGTTGTAGAATGAGAGTAGTCTAATCTCATTTGATCGGAAATTAACACGTGGATTCAAGCGAATGTGTTCATTAGCAAACCACTTGTCTACTTAAACGCTTAGATATCGAGGAGCGTTTTGCTTATAAGCATATATGAGTCAGAGGGGGTTTTGTGGAGATTTAGTATTTTTCATATTTTTAAAGCATGAGTCAATTGAAGCTAGACCACCATGGTGGTCTATGAAAAATATATGAGTCAGACTGATATGAAAGTTTTGGTAGGCTATTGGCTGCTTTCCAATTGTTAGACCAAAACAGAGTAATTGTCGAATTATCTGTCTGTAACAGGTCCATGGAAAAATTCTATCAACCGCAGGTTGTATTAACCAAATAGTATTCAATTTCTCAATCTCCAAACTTTCTAGAACACTGATTTTCGCGCTATTTAAAAAGGACAGTGGTATTTTTCCTCGTTGAGTAAATTCTATTGTTTTGATCGTTATTAACGTATCAAGACTACTGTTTTTATACTTTGATTGAATTTCTTTCAGTTAAAGTATTCTATTAGAGTATCATCTTTGGTATCCTAAATAGTTTTATCGTCGGTACTCCAGAGTACTTTTTTTTCCATTGTGTCTGTTAGTACTTTGGTCCTAACTATTTATAGTTTTTTTTCTACTTGTAGTCAACACTCACTTTCGCATCCTAAAATGACTGGAAGATGCAACAAAAGCATTTGCCACCGCCCAGGATGTCGATATCCTGTTGATAGCGGCATGCAGTGCGATGAGTTCAAAGGTTGGTACCACGATGTTTGCACGAATCTAACACCTGCAGCTTTCAAGCGGTTCAGTAAAAATGGGTGTGTATGGCTATGTCAACAGTGCTGTTTGGATGCGAATAGCCTGTTAACCGAGGCCATTTCAATAGTAAATGCCGCAAAAAAGTGTCTCGGCAAGCGCGATCGGGATACATCAGTCAGAACTCAATCTGTCGACACGCAGATTGACACAAGGCAGGCCCAAGTGAGTCCAAAAACTGCCGACCCACACTCAACTAAGGAGGAAGAACACCCTCCAAAGAGGACTGTTACAACCAGAAACTCGCGCAAAAAAGTCTCTTCTGTCCCTCGTATCAAAAATGGTACCCAGAAGGGAACTTCAGGAAGCCGAAACCGCAAGGCTCGATCGGTTTCCAGCGCGAAAGGTGACCCAATCTCCCAAGTCGTCCTGACTCTTCCGGAATCCCACAGTACGCCTGACGCGAATGTGGTTACCACTCCAAAGAACGTTGGTGATTGGGTACGGGTCGTAAGAAAAAAACGCCAAAATGACGTAAAAGGAAATCATACCCCCACCAAAAGGGTCGACAAGCCGAGGTCTGATCACAGCGACAGATCAGTCATTCTCCATAGAGTCAAGGAGAGTGACAACTTAGAACCGAAAGCTCGTTTTGAGCATGACATTGTGTTGATAAAACAACTACTCAACCAAGTTATGCCCAAAAACATCCCCGGAGTCACCTTGCTAAAGGTGTATAGACTAGGAAATCTAGCGCATCTGAAACCAAATCAGTCTAGACTACTCAAAGTCGTTTTCAAATCCTCAAACGAACGCGACTTAATCTTAGAAAATGGACACAAATTAAAGGGTTCAGGAGTTTTTCTCCGTAAGGATTTACCGTTGGCGGACCGTGTTAAAAGACGGGAAGCCGAAAAGGAACTACAGCTCAGATTAGACGCTGGCGAAAAAGACCTGAAAATTATAAATTTTCGGGTTGTGAGGCTTCGACAGAGGATGATGCCGAAGCCACTCTGGGTGAATCACGAGGCCACCTAAATAGGCTTCAGATCTGTTATACCAACGCCCGGAGCTTACTAAATAAGCTAGGTGTACAGATTGACTCAACTAGGCCAGACATAATCGCAGTCACAGAAACATGGCTGACGCCGTCTATAGATAGTAGGGAACTTGATTTCGAGGGTTTTACATTGGTAAGGGCCGATAGAATACAAACGCGTAAAGGAGGGGGAGTAGCTCTATTCATTAGGAATGCTATTCCATTCACCATTATCGACAGTGTATCCCATGAGAGTGGGACGTACGAATTAGTTTGCTGCCGCCTGAAATGCAGGGGACAAGAGTTGCTGCTTAGTTTGGTCTATCGCAGTCCAAGCTGTGAGGCAAACGAGGTCCTGCTAAGCAGTCTCAACACTTTATCACGAAGTGATCGATGTCTAATCCTAGGGGACTTTAATGCACCCATGGTGGACTGGGGAAATCTTCGGACTGAATCGTCAGCAAACTCCTTCGAACAGGAACTAGTTGATGCAGTAATCACATGTGCCCTAGTGCAACACGTGAAGGAAGCAACTAGGTACGACCCGGGTTCTGCATCATCCTTACTAGATCTTATATTGACTCATTATGAGGATGATGTTGCAAACCTGGATTACATGCCACCCCTAGGCAAAAGTGATCATGCAGTTTTAAGCTTTGACTTCCATATAACAGTCGATCACGATCACGCCTCAGCTCAATCCAGACCTAACATCTGGAAAGCCAACATACCAGACATCATGAAATCAGCATCATTAGTAGATTGGAAAATAGACCCAGAGTCATCAATCGAAACGGCTTGGGACGTATTCCGGAATTTATACTTAAAAGTTACCGCCCCCCACATCCCTTGGACTACACCTAAGGGACCGAGAAACTCCCCACCGTGGTTCAGTGGGGAGGTTCGCATCCTTCTCCGTAAAAGAAGGAAAATGTGGGATAGATTAAGGTTACTGGGGACTGATGAGGCAAAATCTCAGTATCGAAAGGCTGGAAATACCTGTGACTCGACCCTCCGTAAGGACAGAAAGCTGTACGAAGAGAAAATCGTTAGGGAATCCATAGAATGCCCTAAACGCTTGTATTCGTATATAAACCAAAGGACAAAAAGAAGAAGAAATGTTCCTTCACTATGGGGAGACAGTACTGCCACATCACTAGTGGAGGATGACTTTGGCAAAGCTCAAGTATTCTCTAAATACTTTAGCGATGTATACACCATAGAAACACCCTTCTCACCAGTCCATGAAAATCCACCCACACAAGCACTGGACAGCGTAACCATTAAAGAACTCGATGTCTTTGGTCTGCTAGTTAAGCTTGACATAGGTAAGTTCACTGGACCCGATGAACTGCATCCTAGGTTACTAAAGGAATTAGCTAACTTTGTTGCGAACCCTTTAAGTGTATGTTTTAATCTATCCGTAACCCAGGATAGTCTACCAAAAGACTGGAAGAACGCCATAGTAAGTCCAGTCTTCAAAACAGGTACAAAACATAAGCCTGAGAATTACCGACCAATTAGCCTAACTAGTGTGGTTGTTAAAATCTTAGAAAAGATTATTCGGAAGGAACTGTTAAAGTATCTCGATGAAAACCGGATCCTCTCCGAAAAGCAGCATGGTTTTAGAACAGGTTACTCTTGTCTCACAAACTTATTAGTCGCTCGTGAAAGCTGGTGCGCTCTTAAGGACCAAAAATTACCTATAGACGTAGCTTACATCGATTTCAGCAAAGCTTTCGACAAAGTTCCGCATAACCGGCTGTTATATAAGCTAAGGAATGTCGGGATTGGAGGCAATCTATTGATGTGGATAAAAGACTTCCTAGTTGGGCGTCAACAAAGGGTAAGTGTGAACTCCAAGTTGTCTAGCTGGGAAACTGTGCTTAGTGGAGTCCCCCAGGGTACAGTTTTGGGGCCAGTGTTATTCCTCCTGTACGTAAATGATCTCCCTCGTCTACTATCGTCATCGGTCTTACTCTGTGCTGATGATGTCAAGATATGGAGAGCTATACAAAGCAAGGACGATAGCTTAGAACTTCAAAATGACCTGGAGAGATTATCTGAATGGTCCCAAACCTGGCAATTGCCGATAAACACTTCCAAGTGTATTGTGATGCATATTGGCCATCAGGGTACAGATACATACACGATGAACAACACTGAGTTCCTTATTGTTCAGGCACACAACGACTTAGGCGTCATCGTCAGTCAAGACTTAAAGACTACTGCACACTGCCGTGCAATAGCCGCCAAAGGTTTTAGGACTTTATGGTCCATACGCAGGGCTTTTAGGCATCTTGACGCTAAAACGTTTTTGACTTTGTATACAGTGTTCATACGCCCTAAACTTCAGTACTGTATACAAGCAGCTAACCCCTGCCTAAAAAAAGATAGTGAACTCTTGGAAAGGGTTCAGAGAACAGCAACTAGGCTGATTCCCGGAATAGCGAAGCTCCCGTATGGTACTAGACTGACCAAGCTAAACCTATTCCCGCTGTCATATAGAAGAATCAGAGGTGACTTGATTATAGTTTTCAAATTGCTTAATGACAAATTTGCACCTGATATGCCCTCATTTTTCTTGTCTTCCAAAACAGAAAATCTACGAGGACACTCCAAAAAAGTTCACAAGCCCAGAACGAATTACTTGTCAGCTGACTACCGACTTTCCCATCGAATAATCAACGAGTGGAATTCATTACCTCAGCACGTGGTTGAGGCTCCATCCGTCGACTCCTTCAAAAGGCAGTTGGATCAGCTGAGAGACCATCATTGCCAGGACTAACACAGGCCATCAAGCCTCCTGTCCTTTCCAAACTGAAACTGAAACTAAAACTGAAGTTTTTGAGGGAAACTTGTGAACTAATATACAAACCAAGTTTCCGCCTCGCAATCTGTTTTACGAATGACTACATACAATTATCGCACCATAGTTGATGTCACCAATAGATAAAAACCCTGGCAAATCATCAAGAATCTGTAGAAGTAACTAAACAACCTTGAACTCATTTTCGGTCAGTGAAAGAAACAATATTTGGTTGTGGAACGATTCAATGTAAATAAGTAAAATGGTTATAACTTATAAATGAATTGACATATATGCTGGAAATTTATTCACGAAATACTAAGACTTTCATCCCGAACCAAAACTGAGAAACAGAGAAGAATTAGGCGCCGAGACCTGATTTCAATTTCAAATATATCGAGCATTTTTGTAACGAACTTTTACAAACAGACTGATTTATCTGATTATTTCGTCCATACGCTTAATTTTTGACATGTTAATGATAAATAGGTCTTAATGAGACAATCTTGTAGCAATCATGTCGCTTTATAACCAAACACTGTCCAGAAAGTATTTCAGGCCATGCTATATAATTTATTGTGAGTGATCAATGTGGAGACCACTTTGAGAAAATTCCGAATCTTCCTCAGAATTTGTTTGAGTTTTAGTTAGGCATTTTCAACTCCCAACGTGTTCACAAGCACTTCTCCTTCGATTTGGATACCCTGAGCATATGGCCTCACGGCAGACAGTTTGAATTCTAAGTTCCTAAGATCAATAATGTATAGGTCAATAGATTTATTAGTGCTCTTGACTTATTTTATTCACTCGAATATCCAATATCTTTTTGACGAACCTGTGCGCACCAAATTATTTCTTCACTTTCACTTATTGTTGTTTCCATGCGATTTCTGGTCTTTGGTAACGGCCAGTAATAGTCTGCCCGAGTGCACTAATTCTAATCAATCTTGCAATTATTTGGTAGTTTACATATCCTAAGATCTAAGAACATTTATCTTCATCAGTAAAGTTTCTGCAACCAGGAGCTATCACATTACCGAGGGGATTAAGATTCCACATTAACACAGTTTGGTGACGGCTCAGTATATTAGAGGTTAGGAGTCCCCGCGAGTCACACAAATCCTGTGTTCTATCTCCGCATACAGGATTGCGGATATACACTGCTGAGAATTCACACACCTCGAGAAAACTGCCGTTCAATACTTCCAGGTTTTGGACGGTGATCTTACTTTCAACCGTCCATAATTTTAATTAAATAGGGCTATTATTCCCAATAAACCCAACATGCCCTACCAGTCTTCACCTTGGTCTACTACTCTTCACGTTTCTTCATGCTCTCAGCTCTGTACACTCCACACCACACTATATTCTCAAAACCGTTGCTGGTTCAAAGTGGCATTACACTCAACCTCAGTTATGTTTTCGGGAACAGTACCGACACTGTACATTATTTTTTGTTCAGATTTACGGTTCTTCGAACGGTTTTTCGTTTGTTTTTCATATCGCTTAACTACGTAATAATTACTTGCCTAACCCCGTTGCTCTGTAAAAGCCGATATCATGCAGGTGAGTTTGCGTTCTAGAGGTTTCCCCCTACCGTTTTATTGGTCGAATCGATCTATTGGTAATAGCTATTTAAGAAAAGGAATGTTGAAACAAAATGATTTAATAGAAAGGCCAACAGCTCCCGGAAAGACTTTAGAAGTTAATAGACTTTTCTTATGTAGAGTTTGATGAATTAATGATTGTTTTGTACTCTATGTCAGTATAATTTTGAATATTAAGTGGAATACGTTCGGTTGTGCTCACTTAGTACTACTTGGTTTAATTTTCACCATTTAGGGGATTCCTAGTTATATAAATAATTCAAATGCTTCTAATCATCACATTGGCGTCACAATCGAGCATGTGGTGGAGGAGTTTCATATACATTCGAATTTTGATGCTTTTGGGGATTATATGGAAGGGTTCGATATCTGGGCTATGGCCAATGAACATTTTGAGGATGTTAATATTTTGACTCAGTCCCTTACACATATCAATGCATATTTGCTTGATTTCTGGAACAGTGGCCATGGGTATTCTTATGTGAAAAGCGAAGGGAATATGTATCATACTTTTTTACTTATGTCAAAGCCTCAAATTATGTGTCAATGTTTATCCCCAAATACTCACATATAATGATTGAAGTGTGAGATGTGAGAAGATAATGCAAATTGGGAACGTCAAATCGGTCATGATATTGCGATATGATGACCCTACACTATATCATGAGGGATGATAGTGTTGGTAAATCTGTGGACCAAACCCCAGTTATCTTTGACTTCAGTACACAACCGATATGTTGATCAAACACATTTCCAGGATCCAGGTAAGTCCGTTCCAATTTCAGTTGCTAATTGTAATACAACTGAATATATATTCTAGATCACATCTAGTTTGTTAACAATACACAGTCTGAGAGACATAAAATGAACCTGACATGAGGGCGTTCAATAGATTTCAGGAACCAATATTCCAATTTAAGCCGTGGCAATTATGGAGTTTGTATGAATTAATAAATTTTTGTACTCGATGTCCGGCTTATTTTGAATCCTAACCACAGTACTTTCGTTTGTGATCACCTGATTCTCTTTGGTTTAAATTGCGCTATTTAGGGAATTCCTAGACCGTATACTAATTCAAATATTTCCAATCATCATATATTATTCGACATTTTGTAAAATGCCGAAAACATCAAAAACTGAGTTTTCTATGGGATATGTACAACTCAAGAATGAGAACAGCAAACATGCTATCAGTATTTCAGTCTAGGCATTGCTCCATCTTCTGGATGTAATATCGCTAATTGCAACTGTGTGCTACATATTCGACTGTATGGCCTCCCATAACATAGGAGGAGACTCGTAAAACAATTATTTGGAAGGGCTACCAGTAAGTTGTGTTTTTTACGTCCACTTCACATTCAGCAACGAAATATGTAAGTAGAAAGAAATAATCACAACAGGATCTCTATTTAGTTCGATCCCAGCAGTCTGTTTCATGTCTAAGATTAAAAACAATCAACGTGGTTCAGATATTAATAATAATAATAATTTGTTCTCAAACAACAGTTTGTTACATGAGGCATGCCGGTTTACAGGCAAGACCAAATTGTTACAGAACTTACGAGTTTCACTATAGAACATTACTCAGCTGGGTTGATATTTTATAAGATTTGAATGAAAATGGATTTCGTAAGAAACATGTCAAATCACAATTGGCGCACTTTATGAAGGTTGTGTTGCAACATACAGCTGATTGTCAAAAATAGATACATGCGAATTTGGGGGCTTTTAGAAGCTTTGACCATATATCCCTCCGGAATATCTGAGGCTTTAATAACGGTGTAGGACGTAGTCACCGTGCCATATCTGTTTTCGGTGGGGAATCTCCAGAGGGCTGAAAAAGGTGTAAGAAAAAGGAAGGACGAAAATCAGAGCACACAATATTCATGGAGGAATAGTTAGTCTATAACAATTTTAGTCTATTTGCCTGTTACTGAAGTACTTATTAGGTAAGAACATACTAATGTGTTAAAGAAAAATAAGTGTGAACAAGGTATGAGTGGATAAGGAACTGTATAGATGAAGGTAGTTCAGAAAGAAGTATGGAATTGTGTAATTATAAAATAAAGTGCTGAAAACAATATTCCGATACAAATGGCTGTCTCCCTTTTTTTCGAAGCTGTTTGGACACTCTGTTTTGTTTTTAGATTTTATAGGGTATGGAGTGGGCTTCGTTTTTAACCAATTGTCTAGTTTACTTGTAATAGGATTACCCGGTAGGAAGTGGAACCAATTCAGCCTTTTTTAATATGGTTTAAAAAGGTATTTTGCACTAATAAGTTGGCATTAATACCGTTGGTTCATGACATCCCACTAGACATAAGGAGCCGTAATTTTCTCGTTATGAAGCCAATTAGATGTCTAGCTTTAGAAATAATAGAGGAGGCGTGTGCTTTTAGGTTCAGGCTTCCTTTGTAATTAATTCCTAGATCGTGTACTGAATTAAGTGTCTGAACTTTACTTTTATTTAAGTAAAGTTGTGGTTTATAGGGGTGCATTCAAAAGTGCATGATCCCGCATTTGTGGAGGTTAAATGGTAATTGCCATTTTCGCTCCAGATAGTTAGGTTATTGAGATCATCTTGAATCAGGGGAACACTTTCACTTAGAGCCTCAGGTTTATAGCTGTATACTATTTTGAGATCATCTGCATATAAGTATGGTTTCCCAAATTTTATGATGCCACATATATCGTTTATATACATTAGAAACAAAAATGGGCCTAATACACTTCCCTGGGTGACGTCACTAGTTATCGGTCTAGGTAATGAGAGATAGTCGTTGTACTTTACCATTTGTTTACGTCCCTTTAAGAATGAAACAAACCATGAATAGAGTGGGTTGCCGATTCCGAAGGACCGTAGTTTGGCTAGTAGCCTTTTGTGTGGAACCTTATCAAAAGCCTTCTTAAAGTCTAAAATAGGACTGATACGAGGAGTCCATTGTCTCGTCTCAGAGTTATATCATTCATGTAGTCCACTAGGCATGTATCACATGATCTGGACCTAAGAAATCCATGTTGGGAGACCGAGATGAGATTATTAGTAATTACATGTTGGACTAACGCCGCCTTAACTTTTTTTCCATCACTCTAGACACCACTGAAGTTATGTTTATGGGTCGGTAATTTTCAACATTTGCTTCAGTTCCTGTTTTAAATTTGGGAATGATGTGTGTAGTTTTCCAGGCAGTAGGGTAACACGCTGTAGAGTGATATTGCAAATAGTTTGAGTAATAAAACACACATATCATCGACTCCACGTTTTAGCATGCTAGCCGGAATACTTTCTGGTCCATCAGTGTAGGAGTGTTTTAATGTACTAATTTCCTTAGAGATATTTTGTACATTGAAGTCTACGTTAGCGATCTCACAGGCAGATGCTGTGATAAGTTCTGAATCATTAAGTGGTTTTTCATCAGTTAATGAGGAGCAAAAGCGCCCATTAAATAGTTCCGTAACAAGTTTAATATCTTCGTTTACTTGTTGGTCTTTAATAAATATGTTTCCTCTCGACTTAGAACGTTTAAGTTTATTTTGAAAGAGTATGGTGAGTGCAGGGGAGTTATAACTAAGTTCGACAGCACGTTTTTCCTGTTTGATTGCTTTTTGTGTACTTATTGTGTCAGTCCGGGCAAGTATTTCTGTCATGGTTACTAAAGAAGAAAAGTCATTAAAGTTGTGGAAGTGAGTACAATGTCTCTGCAGACGTCTTCGTGTATCGACCGGTATATACAGGTCTTTAGAAAACTTAGGTCTCAGTACTCTAAAGGTGCGATATTGTT